GCACTGCTTTGCGGTGCTTCTGGTCCTACTTGGATGGTCATTTCCAGAGGGTGATGCTTGGGGAGTGCTCTTCAGCCTTGCGGAGCTTTCAGTGGTGGGGGGTGCCTCATAGTTCAATTTTATCCCCCTTGTGTTTAACATCTACATCAGGGGTGGCCAACTTCAAAGAGACTGCAATCTACTCACAGAGTTAAAAACTGGCAGTGATGTACCCCCTTTTTGGGGCTTCAGGTCAAAGTTGTTGGGCTTCTTTAGGGAGGAGGAAAGTGACAGTGATCTACCACAGACAGTGATCTACCACAGACATCCAGTGATCTACTGGGAGATCACGATCTACCTCCTGGACATGCCTGATCTACATGAAACCTCTGAGTGGGGGTCACCCAGAGTTTTCAAGTACATTGTCAGCAAAATGCTGATAGCACATAGCTCTGCTTCTCCTCTACATCTGCAGCTATGGCAGCGGATGTGCTGGACCATTTTCTTGCCCCAGTAATGGACTTCTGTCGGCTGTCATTTGTGGGTGGAAGGGGGAGTGCCTCCATCTAATCCATCCCCTGCCCTCAGTCCAGCATAAGGGATGTTTGGATTGGTCTGTTATTCATTGAAAATTCATAACTGATATCCACATAATACATTGAAGTTGCCCATTCCAGATAAGGTGGATCATCATGTAGTATCTATCTAACTTCCTATGGTATCAAAGTAGGGGCACGGGTGGCGCTGTGGTCTAAACCACTGAGCCTCTTGGGCTTGCCGATCAGAAGGTTGGCGGTTTGGATCCGTGTGACAGGGTGAGCTCCTATTGCTTTGTCCCAGCTTCTGTCAACCTAGCAGTTTAAAAGCATATCATCGCAAGTAGATAAATAGGTACCGCTGTGGCAGGAAGGTAAACAGCATTTTTATGCGCTCTGGCTTCCTTCACAGTATCCCGTGGCGCCAGAAGCGGTTTAGTCTTGCTGGCCGCATGACCCGGAAAGCTGTCTGTGGACAAACGTCGGCTCCCTCAGCCTGTAGCGAGATGAGCACCGCAACCCCATAGTCACCTTTGACTGGCCTTAACTGTCCGGGGTCCTTTACCTTACCTATGGTATTAATGGTCTGTTAGGTTGGCAATGGCAATGCAAGTTTTGCCATTTGATCTAACTGGCACTGGAAATAGGTAGACAAAGAACTGAACACCATTAATGCTGAGTTTTACACAGTATGCTAAGAATATCGTGATTCATCTCTCTTGCATACTGCAACATCTCATATCTTTTAATAAGATTACCCTTTCCATTAGACCATAATTTAGCACAAAGGGACAGGGTTTTTCACTTTAATACCTCTCATTTTAGCTATAAGAAACAAAATGAGGAATCCTATGTAGGGAGAATATTAACTCAGTTTCCTGGTGTCAGTTACAAGCCCTTTCCCTTTGTCTGGACCCTTTCAGAAGAACTGAAAGTCCATGTACCTAACTAATCTTTCCTGAAACTATAATTTAGATTCTGTTTAGCCCCAGGACAATAATTACCTGTCATCACATAGCCTGAGCAATACTGGAGATAAGGGGAGAACAGGACTATGCTGCAGTGCTGACTAGGAAGATACAGTTTTAGAAACATTGGATTTCTTTGCCCCGAGAGGCTGGTAAATTGACCTCAACAATCTATCCCACCTCAGTGAAAGGCAAGAGAGTACCTCCTAGCAATATGTTCTTAACCAGCCAAACAATCAAATGTATCAGATACAGCTGCTAGGTGGTAATGCCAAAAAATAATGATAAATGATTGAACAGTAGGATAGGACAGCATGTATTCTTGATGCATTTTCAATGGGAAAGTGTTATAAACTGCAATGGTCAGATTAGGTCAGCAGAGAATCATATGAAAAATACATCATTAGTAAAGGGATCCATAGCTAAGGTACATACCTTTTTCAACATACCTTATTTAGTTTATATTAAATATGACCAGCCATTAACCATAACTGGTGAAAATAATATACCATTCTTTGATATCATTTATCAGAAGATGTGTTACTAAAGTGATTGAGGTACATTGTATAAAAGAAAGAGAGGTACCAAAATTCTTAACTAACAGCTGATTGACACCTCCCCAAAGGACCTCATGCAGTATGTGAACAGATATTAGGAATGTTCAGAACCACAAAGCCCCAAAAGATTGTGAGACAAGTCGTTCAATGGTATTGTGGTGCACTTGATTTGCTATTTTCGCTACTGAGCTGTTATGAAATACAATCATCCAAATGTCAAGTTATTATTATTTATGGGTTGTTGTTTTTTAAGGCTAATGAGTTCACTACTTCTTTTTTAGGCTTCAATGTTGGCTTTTTCAAGATTCTACCATACCCTTCATTAAGGGATTATTTTTTCAAAGTGCAAAAAAACTGTCTTCAGGTATCAGCCAAAATGATGCACAACAAAGGGGACTCTTAACAGTATCCAGCTGTACTCTCCACATCCTCTAAGTCAGGCGCCGGGAATCTACGGCCCTCCAGATATTGCTGGAGAACTGCCCCCATAACCTCTATTTGCCACACTGGCTGGGGCTCATGAGAATTGGGTCCAACAATACAGGAAGGGCCACAGCTTCCTCATTTCTGACCTAAGATATTTTGCCATCAAAGTGTTTTCCCATACTGTATTACTTAGGGTGACAGTGGCAGCAGAATCACTAAAGCCTCATCCTAAAAGGAGGACAATCTCTCATTCAGATGCAGAATTAATTGCCCAAATGTTTCCCCTGCATGCACCATGGAGGCTTATTCCCATCTACACCCTGCAGTGTGAATGGGCATTCCATCAGGTGTCCTGTGGATATGTACCTCTGTCAAGCTTCCAATGTACATCGAGGTACATCAAGGTGTCCAGGTAGATTGGCTGCAGATAAATGTCTGCTCATGAGGAAATGAATCTTCTAAAGCAGGTAACATCTGGTCAGGAGGAAATATAGATAGACTAATATATCATTGTGCTGGAATCTTCTAGAACAGGCATAGGCAAACTCGGTCCTCTAGATGTTTTGGGACTACAACTTCCACCATCCCTAGCTAACAGGACCAGTGGTCAGGGATGTTGGGAATTGTAGCCTCAGAACATCTGGAGGGTCGAGTTTGCCTATGCCTATTCTAGAATCTAAGTGGCTTAGGTAACACATCAACTGCATACTCCAGCTTCTATGAATTAATATCAACTTTAGAGGTCTAGCTGTTGGTGCCGCCTAAAGTATCCACTGAATGAGCAAAAGAGATACAGCTTTTTCTGTAGTGGTACCACAGCTCTGGAGAGCTCTTCCTATCCAAAATTGCTTTTTTCCATCAGAGATTTTCAGCTCATTTTTAATGTATAACAACTTTCAGTTCGATTGTTGCTAGGTTTTTTTTTAATATGTGAAACATCATTTAGCCTCACTACTGTTAGTTTTCTACTGCTGATTATATTATGTTTTAATAATCTGTGTTGTCTGAACATTAATGGCTATGTTGTAATCGTTCTCATGGATTGTTGCTATGGTTGATGATAGGGATGATGATAAGTGTTTAGTTCTTGGGTTGCGGCTAACACCCTTACTCAATATTCAGCACCAAACGTTCAATGAAAACAATGTCACACAGTAAAGATGGCTACACAGTTGTTACAGGAAAGCACTGATATCAGTGTTTCTACAAATTATTTTCAAGATTTGTCACCAATACCATCAGGGCCAGCTGCAGAGATTTTGCTGCAGAATAGTGCTTCCCCCATTCCATGTAGAAAAGCTTAGCAGAGTGACAGTTGGGTAGGGTCCTTCACCACATGCAAGGTCAGCAATCTGGTTTAGGGAGTGTAGAACAGGCTGCATGACAAAATGACAGCGTGGAATCTACACTACTAAGCATCTGCCACCAGAGGCAGCCTCATCACTTTGCTGAATGGTAGGGATGGCCCTGAATAGCACATTAGACAAGAGTCGTCAAGAACAAATGTGTTCAGAAAGGCATGGTTTTCCTGCTACTTTCCAATGAAGATTATCACTCAGAGGCACAAGTACAGTTTCAATGCCATACTGAAGTTAGATCTAAGGTAGGCACAGGATCAGACAACAGTTGCGTTTGAAGCTTCAGAACAACCTTCACCACAAAAGGAAGATTAAACACATGCCAGTAGCAGGCTGAGGAACCAACATCTATGGACCAAGTTCTCATATAGCTGAGCTAATTCCATTACTTGCTGTTCATGAGAGAATGGCTGATAATCCCAATAGGACCAACATCATCTACCGGGACCTAAGCAACTCCTGATGATGGCCCTGGGTAGTCATGTGAAGCTAGCAGCCACGTTGCACTGGATTGATGCTATGATCTAGTTGAGATGCCTGCAGTGCAGGGGGTGGGACCAGTTGACCCTCAGACTACCTTGCAACTCTACAAGTCTATGCTGGATACACTAGGAAATGTAGGGAATTTAAAATAGTGAGCACTAATGTAGGGTGGGGCTCACCTTGCAAAACTTCCCCTCATACATTTCTCTGAATCCCAACCAGAAATTACCAATTTTCCTCCAACTAGCTTACTTTAGATGGAGTGATTTGTGAAACTAGTGACTCACATCCTTAATGTATTAATGTATTAAGGATGTTAAAACAAAAACAAAAACCCTTCTCTGATATTTCTGCAGATAATTCTTCATTAAAAATTATTCAACAACCATATTTGCAAAAGAAGACATTCCATTTTGGAGGTTTTTTTTTAAATTAAAAATATATATTTCAAAAGGTTGTATGGTTATTACTTCACGTCTCAGCATATTATGGGTTGTCATACTCAGAGCATACCTCTTAAAATAAGTGGACTGAAGTTAGTCATACATCCATTTATTTTAGTAGGCCTACTCTGACGTATAACTAAGCTGGAAAGAAGTCTTTGAATCGTTTGAATCATTGAATCATAGAACCGTAGAGTTGGAAGGGACCATGAGGGCTATCTAGTCCAACCCCTGCAATACAGGAATCTTTTGCCCAACATGGGGCTTGAACCCATGACTCTGAGATTAAGAGTCTCACGCTCAACTGACTGAGCTAGCAAGTCATGGGTTCCTAACTGAAAAGTACAGAGCTATGTCATAATTGTGCATTACTTCGACTTAAGAAATGTCTGTTTAGCTTATGCTAGTCTTTATTTTTTAAAATCCAAGACTTTATAAGAAGGATAAGCATTGTAAAGCCTATATGCCATGTTTCTCCAACCTACGCCAAAAGTATTGTGTATGTTTTCCTCTTTAAAAAACAACCCACAGCTTCACATTGCGGGGGGCGGGGAGAGAAAAGCCCATAGGCTAGAGAAAAAGCCTTATGCTGCTGACCCCTGCTTTAAGAGGGTAATAAATCAATGTTCAAGTAGTGTTATTTCTTTAAAATTGAAGTATGGCTAAATATTGTTCTGATATATAATTTGCCATGAAAGGCATTTTCTTTAAGAGAGCTTTTGTTGTTTGGCCCGGTGTGGATGCTGAATAATGGAATTCTCAGCAAGCAGAATATAGGGAGCCTGTACAGTAACTGATGCATAATCATACATTTTGCTGTCAGCTCTGGCATCCTCTTCATTTTGCTTGCAAGAGTCTGGATAGCATAATCACAGTGTGGTTATTTGTCAGCAAGCATAAAGTGTTGAAATCTCTGCACTTCAGCTGCCAGCCAATCCAAGATGTGTGATTTACATAACATCCCCACCACCACCCTGCTACAGTGCTATATTTGTTTACACCAACAATCAACATCCACTTTCAACCTGAATGCATTTTATTTAAAATTAAAGACATAGCAAAACAACGATAGAACAAGACTGAATGACAAGAGACATGGTGAAGAATATGTTCTGCCTCGCGCAATGGCAGCTGCCGGAAAAGGTTCCATACAAAGCTAAAACAAACAAATAAGCTTTGGAAGGAAGGAAACACGGCCATAAGCGGAGCACTTCCACAAACGCATAAGTGAATGAAGGCTGATTGTCACCTCTCACTGTTGTGCCCTCCTTGTGCTTAAAGTTCTTTCGATTTAACGTGATGATAAGAAATTTATTGGTCATCATTTCAAGCTCACTTGGTTTAAAAAAAATTACAAAGAAAGGATAATACAGAATACAACAGTCCATTAAAAGTTAGAATAGGGGTCACAGAATCAGAATAGTGGAGTTGGAAGGGACTCCTAGGATCATCTAGCGAACCTCCCTGCAATGCAGGAATGTGCAGCTATCCCATACAGGGATAAAACAGTTAGAATTCCTGCTCCATGATTGCAGTCATGGGATTTTTGTCACATGATGGTATATGTTTTGACTCCACAGAATGGGAAGTGACAGAGACAGGATGTTTGTGTTACTGTGTTCCATGAAGAGGGACTATTGTTCTTTGTTCTTTTTCTTTTTGCTGTCTGATGCTAGAGAGAGAGGGAGTCATGTTGCAGTGCTCCGTGTGTGTTTATATGTAAATACAGTAGATTAGCCAAAATGCTGAGTTGTTGTGGTCTGTCATGCATGATGTGCAAACTCTACAAATCCCTAAGTGTGCCGGTGTCGGTTGGCATAGGTCGCTGTGATGTTCAGGCTGAAGAAAGCTTATGAAGTACCCAAACAATCGACCAGGAGGGAGGGAACATGCCAGTCGGGCATGTGTCTCTGCCAGAGTCCTACTCGAGTGCAGGCTGAACTCCTGACAAAAACTTGCAATCTTGGCATTATCAGCAGCATGCTCTAACCAGCTGAGCTGTAGTTGCTTGGCAGGGGAGCCAGCTTTCCACAAGTGACTTCCATTCATCTTAGGCAGGGATGGTCTCTGTGTCCCTCTTGGCTTGTCAGGCTTCCCCATTTGGCCCACAAAGCCATACTCATGCACCTTACACCTGGCAAGGGTGGGGCTTGCCCAAAGATCACTTTGTGCAGCTCCCAAAGTGCCTGGCAACCAGCTGGCTCTTGGGAACTTTTGCAGTGTTGCACAAAGCAGGATCACTCCCCCTTCACATCAGCCTCCAAACGATTTGCATCCTTGTGGAGTATCAAATGCATATTTGTGAAGGCAAATATACCCATGGAAACAAGAATAGAAGCTACAGGGGACGGGACAGAAAGCAGGACAAGGGTTAAGTGCTCCTCCCCCTAACATTTAGCCCTTCCAAGTTACCTCTTGCTGAAGTATCCATTGGATGCTCGCACCAGTGTTTCCAACTCATGTGTTAAGGCTAACATTTAGCCTTAATCTAGGCATGCATGCCAAACACACTTCATTACTGAGCGGCCACAAACCATTTCTGTATTGGTTTATTAGACACAGAAAGAATTTGATGAGTGTCTATTCTAAATCGGTACTATTCTGAACTAATGAACTTTCTATCTCAAAAATATTTCTACAGAAAATGAAAGGAAAATATTCAGTAAATGTGTTGTATTCAAAGAATCATGGAATTGCAGAGTTGGAAGGATCTACAAGGGTCATCTAGTCGAACACCCTTCAATGCAGGAATCTTTCATTCAATGTGGGGCTCAAACCCACAACCCTGAGAATAAGTCTACCAGCTGAGCTATCCTATTCAGCTAAGTTTTCCTCAGAGTCAACCCACTAAAATTGCAGAAGATGACTAAATTAGGTCCATTACCTTCGTTAGGTCTTCTCTGAGGAAAACTTGGTTGACTACCATTCAATATCCTGAAAGCAGTGTAAACTGAGAGAAGCAATAATGTTTAAGTAGGTACAGTTAGCTAAAAGAGAGGGAAACATCTCAGCATTTCATGTTTCTTCAGAGCTGTTGACTGAGAAACCTCCCATGTAAGCAGGCAGAAGTGCAACAATACTGCCCGGTCTGCTTTGAGAAATGGAAGCAATATATTTTAAAGGTAGAAACAGCACTTTTTTAATGTACCCTGACCTTAAAAGCTAGATGTCAAACTTAAGGCATTATCTATCTATCTCTCCCCTCCCCACCATTTCTGCCTTCTAGGTTCTTCCAGCCATGGGCTTCTATTTAGTTGTGTATTTTTGCAACAAAGCAAGGATGGTGCTTCATTGTTCTCTCAGCTGAAGGGATAATCAATGCAATATGGGGAATAAGGCAGCTTGCATGGCTGGAGGGGGATTCTGAACTGCTTTTTTCTTTATCTGAAAGTTAAAAGTCCTTTGGTTGCTTCACAGTTCCCTCCTTGCCACTTTCAAGCTGGTTTATGTGTGTGTCAAGAGAAGTTCAGGAGAATGAATTTTCGCCTGTCTTAAATTCCCTGTATGACAGACATAGGAAGTTGCTGTGGAATTTGTACAACTGCCAAAATAACAAATCTCCCATAGGACTACGGGAATCAAATGCGAATAGATATGCTAAGGTGTAGAGAGAATTATGACTGATAGGAAGAAAGAAGTAAAGCAAAAATCTTATTAGCTAACTGTATTAATTAGGCGAGAAAGATAGCACAGTGACATTTTAGATGGTCTTAGTCAGAGGCTGTGGATTGGGCTTTAATAATTTTCCTCACTAAGTTTAATGCCATCTAATTAGCTCATTTCACCCTGCAGATTTGCTCAGTTCACTTGAAATGAATTTAAACATATACATAGACAAGATCAGAACAAAATAGGCTTAAGCGCTTCCCTTTCTTTGATGCCATGATAGCGCCATTAATACACTGGGACATGGTCTAAGCAAACCTCTGGTAATGGGATGTACCGCCTTTTGTAGTGAGGCTGCCAATATACGTGCCACGATATAAAAATTGAAGATTAGTACATTAATCCAAGCTAAATGTCCTATTTAACGTGCTTGGTAATAAGAAACTTCCTTAGGTGAAAATGCATTTCTAAGGCAGGATATATTTGAAAAGTTAATGAGAAGTGAAAACAACCTTACTTTTCTGACACCTTCTTCCAACATAACCTTCCATGCAGGAGCACACATTGTTTCTCATACACTGTCCATTGTTTTTACAAGGAGGATTGCAGAAAGCTAATTTGAAAAAGCAAAGAAAGAAAGTAAATGCTTTACTACTAATGTGACTGGGAATTGCAGCATAATCTCTAGGCAGCATGATGCTATGGAATGTAGTACCAGCAAGGCAGTGCCTAGAATAATATCCAAGACCCAGATTGGTGTAGCTCACATTTCCACAGCTGCTTGTTTCTAGCCATAAGAGTTGCTGTGGCATTGGGGGAGAGGGAAATTATCATGTTTTCACACTGAATTGAGGTGCTGTGGTTGATATGACCTGGACACAAAGGGCTAAAGCCCCTCTCCTCCATGCCATATTCCCAATCCATCTTCCCTCCTCCAAACTGACTTGGTGAAAAAGACAGAAAGAAAAACCCTATGAGGGAAAACTCCATCGCAAATCATTCGTTCATGGTTTTCCAAACTTGGATCTCCAGCCATTTTTGAACTACAACTCCCATCATCCCTAGCTAGCAGGACCAATGGTCAGGGATGATGGGAATTGTAGTCCAAAAGAGCTGGAGACTCAAGTTTGGGAAATCCTACCTTAGTCAATAACACCACATGAAGATTGTTTTTGGCAGTGTTCTACAAATGTACAAAACAAAACAGGACAGAATAGTATATATCATAAATTGTATAGTAACTAAAACATCTGTGACAGAAAAAAAACCTATTCACTGCTCTCACACATTAGCAGGGAGGAGTAAAGTGGGAACCATGTTTCCTGTGACATGCAGACACAGTCTTTTTGTGATTAGATTAGGTTAAGATTAGGAAAATATGCATGCATTTGTAACCAAAAGTTTATATCAGATGCCTCCGCTCCCCACCCCCATAAGAGAAGAAAAGACCCAGCTAGACTGTTTCTATGGGTGTCAAAGCAACTCAGTTAGTGAAAGTTCAGCCCCTGATAAAGAAGAAAAGAAGAGAAGTAGTTTATAGTCTGTCCTTCTCATTTACACTGAATTTAGATTAATGTGGGTAAATATCAGGCTATTTCCTATAATTGTGAACATACTGGGATGTGGAATAATAAAATGCTGTCTTCTACACTGTGTAACATTTTGCCAACGTATACTTTGAAGTTCAGTTAATTACACATTGCAAATCCGTTTGCAA